AAGAGATACCCCGAAAATCCTTGGCGTGATCATCCGAAGTGGCTGAAGTTCTCTACAACCGGGCAGGATGTGAGGGCCCAACATCTTCCCCGCAATCTCGGCATTCCGGAGAACAATTCGATTTTTTTCTTCCAAGCTGTACGGAAGAACACGGCGAAGGCACGAGAGCACGACCACTGTACAAGAAAACCAAGCATATTTCGGGGAACGAATCCCCAGCAAATACACGCGGCTGCAACTCGCTGAGGCATCGCTGGCATGGCGATCGCAAAAGGGTTGCATCAAATGAGTCGGACCCGTACGTACTTGGATCTAGACTCCAGATACTGCGATAGATAGGCGGGCGATCGAGACCAGTAGAGGCTACTACGAAGGAGACGTGCTTGTGAAGACTTCGAACGCTTGTCGGGCTCACATACGGTACAGGTTCCACCGCACTAAGTTCCTTGAATATGTCATTCGGCTCTCTTCGACAAGTTCAGGCCTGATTGTTGACAAAATGTGATACCTTAGCCCTCCACACTTGATTGTCTTATGATAACAGATAACCCATACACTCAACCCCACTTAGGGGCCAAAAATGCCCCCTCCGAGGAAGCACGGTTCGGGGCGAATGATCTAGACCAATCCAAGCTCGAAAACGGTGGTCAGGGATAATAATATGCATGTTGGTCACGCGCGGTAAAACAAACAAACCGCGCTCACTCGCCGCTCCGATAACCCATAAACCGCTCAGCGCGAAGCAATACACACGCGAGGCACGCGTAATAAAGCCGCTTCCTCGGAGCATGTTGTTTGCGTCTGGTTTACTTGAATTTCAGCAAAAACTTGTTTCGGTGGTGAAACTGATACAAACCACACGAGATCTGGCATTTAAGCGAAACACTACCAAACGGTGTGACGAACGCTTCAACTCACGACGGCAGTATGACAAGAGCGAATGGATGCTTTTGTCGCCGTCCTTAGTGCCAAAGTGAGAACCGAATGTCGCAACTTCCAAGCCAAGATCAGCAAGCCTGTACGGCGCAAAGCGAAATTTGTCAAGGAGTCCTGCACACTCGTGGTTGCTGAACTGCTTGAACCTTACCTGATGCTGGAGAGCAGCGGCAAGTGTTGCCCTGGCCGTCTGTACAAGCAGCAACGCTCGTCTCGATTCCTTGCTGCTGTCGGCCTCAATACCCCGTGCTTTGTGCTCGCCATCTCCAAGTTGCTGGTACGTTTACGGAGCGCATCCAGTAAGCCCAGCGCACGTGTTAGATGCTACACGTGTGAGAATGGGTCTACTGAAGATGTGCCCCAAAATAGAAAATAGTCCAAACACAAGATGCCACCCAAAATGCAACTCGCGAGGCACACCTGTCGGAGACCCCGCTCGGCCCGATCGGGTTGTCCGGCAGCGAGTTGTAGGTCCGGTAGACAGTACCCAGTTCCATGCCAGTCTTGCCCAGCAAGGCGCATCATCTCCTTCGTAACCTCGGGGGACAGATGCTCGAACAGGTGTTTCGCGCTCATTTTCGTAGTCACGTGGAGCTCCCGCGCCCACTCGTATACGGCGTGCTGGTCGCCTTTTAAGTCGAAGAACTCGCGGAGGTGCAGCTGAATTTCACATAGGTGCTCGTTCACGACGGGGTTCAGCTTCACATCCCTGTAGCCGCTAGGCATCCAGTCGGACTTGAAGCCATTTTTCACGCGCGGAACCTCTTGCTACAAAGGCCATTTCATAAGCGGAGCAGAATGCAAGTTTCATAAACAGGTTGCATCACAAATTACGACGTGGACTGTGTCCAGTATTGGCCTTGCATGTGGTCGATAAGACACAAGAAAAAAAAGCTAGTCTAACTTGGAGAGCAACTGATTTTATTTTCGTTCAAAATATGATTTTTTCATGACTCGTAGAGATAGCCTTCCATGCCTGGGTAAAGAAGGGGTTCAGATCATGGCAACGCTTCAGCCAAACGCGGTGGGCGACGGTCTCGGCCGTGCGTTCGTGCTGCACATTGGCTGTTGTACCACTCGTCTAAGGAAGCAAAAAAGAGAGAAACGGAGTGTCCAAACTCGTGTTCATTCATCATTCACGCCCGCGGCTGATTCGTCAAACATTGGTGTGCCCTCCACACCACCAGTGCTGGCTTGTCTTTGAGGTTTGTATCCACGTGAAAGATGCCGATATCAAAATGCGTCCGGGTTATCTCCGGAGGCAAGCGCTATTCAATTTCAGGACCTGTACGCCTGAGAATCATCGAGTTTAGAGCCTCAAAATGCACATGGCTGGTTCGCAGCGGGGAAGTAGGACAAAGCAAATCGGAGGTAAAAGGAAGTATGTTGTGGCAAACGAAATGATCGGACTTCAGTTGTATGTATGATCAGTTGTTCTGGAGCACCGTGTGCCATCCTACAGTTCTTTCTGAAATCGGGAACAGCAGGTGCCGTCAGCGCTTGGGAACCGATTGGCAGGGCCCGCTGGGATGGATCTGGCTAGCATGGAGAATGAGCACCCGCTCGCTCTTGGAGGAGCGGGCGTGCTTTGTGCCACTTGTCATGAGGACACTACGGGAAAGAGAGGTCATGTCTTGCTAGTTGAAAGGAATGAGAACTGACCATGGCGAATGGCGGGGGAACCAAAAACAGCACGAATATTGCGTTTGATGTAGAGCAAAGAATCATTCTCGTTATCCACGACCCCTATCATTTTCTTATTTTACACAACGAGAGAGCCAGCTAGGCCCTGCCGACTTTCCGAAGTTGCCTCGACAACCAATCTCAAATCAAACAGATGGCGAATGTACAAAATTGTCGACGGCACCACATCCAGACTTGCCGGTCGTGGTCCGAAATCTGCATATGCTGCTCACCTCGGGCAAACCCAAGATGGCCAAGAATGCCTCTTTCAAGTCCTCCGGTGTGGCACAAACCACAGTTACCCTAGCCATGTCAGCCACCATTCTGACGTCCCCATCACAGAACCTTCTGGCCTTCCGCCGCGTACTTTCACGTGACTTGACCTCCGCGCATTGAACCTCGTACTTGCTCGAGTCGTGTGCAATATTCGTGACGAGCTCGTCCAACCGCCTTTGCGAGCTCAGCTTCTCCTAGATAGAACTGTAACTGCTTTTCAAGTTTCTCGTCCTTGCCACATTCCTGTAACTCCAAGACCTTGGGCTGGAAGAGGACCTCCGACCGAACCGGGGCGATGTTCAGAAGGTGTTCAAGTTCTCCCGTCTTGCTGAGCTCGTAGTACAAATCGTCGTACTCTGCTTGAAACTGCAACACCGTCTGCACTTGAAGATACTTGAGGAGATTCACCTTGGCGTCTAGACCAATAGATGACGTCTCTCGTTGACATGGAGTCTTCAGCTCAGCCTCCAGACGGAGAAGCCCCTTGATGTCGACGTTCATCTACGAAGGCAACGCACGGGGTGGCAAAGACAAGGTTTTCGACGGCTTATGCCGACAGCGTCTACTATTTCCATGCATGGATATTGCATATTGGACAAATGCCGAACCATTAGACTGATTGAGTGGTCTAATGATCACTGTCGCACCTGGGAAGGAAGGGCGAGAGCCCGCCGACATATCTTGTATTGATAAAGGCTAACAATTGACCACTCAGTCAGCAAATGATTTAGCCTTTATTTAATATTCCACACCTGGCAATGTGGAAAGCCTAGCAGTGATGGGGTATAAAGAGTAAAGAGTATGTGTTATAGGGAGGGATATAAAATCATTTCCCCGTTTTGCACAAATGAGTGAGAAGACGATCGCTGAACCACGTGAAGCCACGCTTAGCCTTCCGGGAAGGTCATCGACGGTCATCGCATCGCGTTGTCTCCAGTGGGTCCTCGTTGTTCTGTGATCGCATTGGTTATTGACTACTGCTGTAGTAACTCCCTTTCGTCTCTTCAAGCTGCAACCGAGTTCCTTTCCAGCGATCCATGGCTGGATTGTTCCCAACAACCAAGACCAGGTCGAGAGCCCCTCCCCGTTGACCTACTGTCGTTGTGTCCACCTACGTACTGTAGACTACGGCAGTGTGGCTGTATAGCAGTGGGGCTACGAGACTCGGTCACGAGGGTGCTCGATGAATCGCCCTCCCAGGGTGTGGATGCATGCCCTCGGGAACGAAACAGTCAGTTGGTTTTACAAGCTCACCTACCATCCGTGGCAAGCTATTGCTAAACTACAGAGTTCTGTCACATACAATATTTAATAGTCAAACGTCGTTGAGAGCCAACAGTACAAAAAAATCCCCACGAGACCGCCCACCGCACACCTGAAACGCGCTCGATCTGTTGGTAACGTGGAAGTGGGCCACAGCGTGCAAAAGCTCGTGCTGGCGTTCTGGTCTTTCGCACGTTGCCCCTTGGCCTGGGGTGCGAGTAGGTGCGAGGGGCGTGCGGGAATGCTGCGTGCGGGAATGCTGCGTGCGGGAGAATTACCGCACGCCGTGTGATGGGTTTCCATAACGCCTCGTAAACCGACGGTTTCACATAAAAATCAGCGTGCATCGCTGAACGTAACTGAAGTAACACATTTTCGACGGTATTGTAGACATTGGTGACTCTGTTGTAGACATTGATTCCATACGAACCACCACACGAGCTCTAATTCTCAACCTCGCACGTTCCGCAAGACCGAGCTCTGCGGGTTCATCACAAGACTGGACTACTCACAGTACTTCTACAAGGCATACACGTAGCAAGCCAAGGTCGCCTTCGAGGATTTCAAGGTGCTCCCTGGTCATGTACTCGATCCAGTAGCGGCAACAGAGTTTTCGATGCTTTTCTGTAGGAGGGAGTGAGATGTCGTTTTCTGCAGGGAAGCCGATGGCGTTTTTCGAGGCAAGGACGAGGTGACAGTCGTCTCGCTGGACCGACCAGCAAAGCAATCTCCGTGCGTATTACGTACTTTTCGCATACCCGAGGTTGTTGCAATCCAGCACCTTTTGGACCTATCGTAATCGTCGGGGTCTTGGCGCATATCGTGGTCTCGGCACGTATCGGGGTCTTGGCGCAGGGTGTGCGGAAAAAAAGCGGGTTCCGAATGATTTGCTAGATTATCGCACAGGTATCGTTGTCTCCGCACAGTGTGCGGAGACGCCGATATGTGCGGTGAGGTTTTTTGGCGGTAGTGATACCCTTTCACCAGCATCTTGTGCTGGAAATTCCGGGTTCTGTGGGGGCTTGAATCGCGTGGTCCACTGCTACTGCTGCCCTTGGCACCATGACGATGTTCAAAATTGTGGCATTTGTACTCTTTGTTCTCTTCTTTTCGTTCTGGAGAATCAAGATCGGGAAATCGGCAAACGGCATCCTCCACTCAACAATTCTAAACGCAGATGAAACCAAAAACGAAGTAAACACTCACACCAAACTACCACTACGAGCTAGGAACGTCCTACTACTGTATGCACTTCCTGGGCGGGTTGAACTCTACTTCGTGCCCGCGCCCCTACCATCGCAAAAACATCCAATTTCACTAGCAATCCCAAAGAACTATTGACGTGGAATCGGCCGGCGATGGCCTATCGCGCGTAGATATATGTGTAGATGTGCCAGTGGGGTCGTGGGTTTGCGCGTCTCGATGTTGCTTGCGATCAAAGTGTGTTTCTTAGGCCTTCGTGGGCTGGGAACAGCAGGGAAATTGAACACTGAAACAGGGGGGGCACGCGACATCAGCTGACACGAGCTAATTGCGCCGCTTCCTCTGTATCTACCTAATTGCGCCGCTTCACTTTCTCTCCAACTCTCTCTCTCTCTCTCAACTAACTGCAATTCCCTCATAAGCTCATCATTCCAACCATAAACCAACACCTTCTCAATTCTAGTCTCCACCTCATACTCTTTCTTGACCTTCCTTCCATCACGCCTTTATTATATATACTGCGATTAAACTACCCCAAGTCTTCTTACACCGACCAAAACTAGGGTTGACTTATTGCACGACATTCGCCCTCCCCAGGTTCAACGCATACTTATCTGCGATCAGTCTCGTTTGAATTAACACTTGACCACAACGTGCAATGCTTGACCTACAACCAATATCACTCTCTTGCAACAAGTTTGAACAGTAACCACCAGAACCAACTCATGTAATACACACACCTCAATTTCGTCACGACCGTGGTACCACTGCAATACGGCTCCATCACAAGGTACATTCTTTAGCCAAAACAACAATTGCCCAAACACATTAATTTTGACCCGTATTCGATTGCACCACTTGGCACGCTTTTCCGCAGTCCTACGCACTTCAAAAACACATAAACAAACATGAATTTTGACCCGTATTCGACTGCACCACTTGGCACACTTTTCCGCAGTCCTACGCACTTCAAAATGCAACCAGTTAATTATCCTCCAACTCAAACATGTACTTCTTGACACTTTTCGCCGTTCTGTGTGCATGCCAGCACCACGTTCCTGGATCTTGTACCAGGTTGTCCGTCGTCAGATTCTTCTCCAGAAGTGCCACATTGATGTTTTTGCCGATGTCCACCAGCTTGATAGTATGCTTGATGCCTTCTTCCCACCTCGGTTCCGGAGTCACCTGCACCACCTTTGCAAACTGCCACCCAGCCTTTACCGTCTTGAAGTATAAATATGCACCAATCATCGCTTTACTTCGAAGACTCGGCCTACCCCGTATGTCACAACAAAGTTTGTAATCTTTTTGCATGTGTCTTTCTCCCTTCCTGATAGCAATCGTCCTTTTTGTNGTTCCGGAGTCACCTGCACCACCTTTGCAAACTGCCACCCAGCCTTTACCGTCTTGAAGTATAAATATGCACCAATCATCGCTTTACTTCGAAGACTCGGCCTACCCCGTATGTCACAACAAAGTTTGTAATCTTTTTGCACGTGTCTTTCTCCCTTCCTGCTAGCAATCGTCCTTTTTGCACCCTGAATACGGTACCTCCGATACCTAATGTTCCCTCCGGCCGATTGTTCCGGCTGCTCATTCCAATATTTAAGTACCACGTCCCCATATTGCTCTAACTCTACTTCATGCTCCCACGTACACTTAGCCAACCCCGTCCAATGCGTGTAGTACTGAACCGCCCCCTGACCACTTATACCTCGACAAATCCTGTGCCTTGATATTTTGCACGGGACCAATTCTTTACCATCCACTTCTTTNAGCCAACCCCGTCCAATGCGTGTAGTACTGAACCGCCCCCTTCCCACTTATACCTCGACAAATCCTGTGCCTTGATATTTTACACGGGACCAATTCTCTACTATCCACTTCTTCCTCCACGTCCTCTGCCGTAAGGTGGAACGGAGGCGCTAACTCTGAAAACTTATTCAACACATACTTGCTAAAGCCCCACGGCAAGAACCTAGGCCTATCCTCGTTCTCGTGCTGAGTATAACACTTCTTACATCGATACACCGACACTCTCTTATTAATGTTCGTCCCTGGCTCATCCTGATTCACGTCCAAGTACAAAATATTCGGGCCCACTTTTTCCCCTTCAGGATCCGTCCCTGGACCCAAAAACAACACCTTATACGGCCCGGTCCAATTGTGTGCCAACTTCGGGATCAACGCGAACGATTTTTCTTTCCCCCTACTGTTCATTCGCGATTTAAGCACGTGTTCCCCCCCACCAGAAATTGTACTCTTCTCATCATACACCAAGACCCAGTCCCCCTCCTTGTACTTCGGCCTCTTCCCTATTATCGAGTTCAACACCTGATTGCTCTTCTCATGCTTTGACTTGGTTATCTTATCCTGCTCTCTTACCAACTCGTACGCCTTCCTTTGCTTATCCCTCATCAAATTCAAATATTCCAATTGGTCTTGCTTTAGGCCCTGATTTCCCGAAACACCCCTTCCCTCCAAGATCGTCATCGGCAACCTCGGGTACCTTCCAATGTGTACAACGTTTGGTGCTAGCCCCGTCCCTCGGCTCACGTTATTGTTGTGTGCCGCTACCGCGTGTGGCAACATCTCATCCCAATTCGCCTGATTGTCCGCAACCAAGTGCGACAACATTTGACACAGCGTATGATTGAAACGTTCCACCATCCCATTCGTCTGCGGATGATAAGAGCTAGTAAACTTCTTCACAGTTCCCAGCATCTTATACACCCCTTTCGCTACCTCATTCGCAAACTCTGCTCCCCAATCTGACAACATGGTGTGCGGACAACCCCACCTCGCAATATATTCGTTCACCATGATAGACACATTTTCCTGCGCCTTCGTTAGTGGGTACCCCTCGGCATGTCTGCTGAATAAATCNTCTGCGGATGATAAGAGCTAGTAAACTTCTTCACAGTTCCCAGCATCTTATACACCCCTTTCGCTACCTCATTCGCAAACTCTGCTCCTCTATCTGACAACATGGTGTGCGGACAACCCCACCTCGCAATATAATCGTTCACCATGATAGACACAAAACCCTTCGCATTTTTCTGCGCCTTCGTTAGTGGGTACCCCTCGGCATGTCTGCTGAATAAATCTACCACCAAAAACACGTACTCGTTGTCTTTCGTCGTTCTCGGCAGTGGACCTAAATAATCAAACGACACCATCTGCCCCGGTCTGCTCGGAAGAGGCAAAGACACTAACGGCCAACACTTCGTATGCCGCGGCACCTTCCGAAACTGACAAGAATAACA